GGGGAAGACCTGAAACAGTAATAATAATAATAAAGCCAACTGTATGAGTTGCTTGTTTCCACCCTGCTGATAGTGATTTCCCAGACCTCATGCCGATGTCAACTCTGTCATCACCCCTAGGGAATTCCATGACTGTGCTAAGCTCCTGCATTACACGACACGATTACTCTAATCTACGGCCCTGCGAGGACAGCAAATGTAGATGACGTGGAGAAAAGAGGAGAAAGAAAACAGACGAAAACATACTGCTCACTCATCGCATGCCCCCTCCACGAGATTATCTCTCGAGTGGAAAGGAGCCCCTCTCAGGTAGGCGATGGAATCGAGGATGCCCGGCCGGAAGAACAACGCGAAGGCAGGCGCTGCAGTCGTTATCATTGTAGTCGAATGTGCGCGGATACGTCTTGGAAAGAAAACTTTTTTTTTTCGCCGACGGTGACTTCCAGCATCTCTTACAGTAGTTTTACTTTGAATCAATGCCACTGCCTTATATTCGTATCACCTTAAACCTTCTCGGGGATGAATTTATTCAAGTAAAAGGATGTTTTATTTTTAAGTTTAATATACGAGGGCAGGGCCGGATTAAGAAGTTGCGAAGCTCGGAAAAAGCGGATTCTGGTGATGCAGATTTTGATTTGTAACATCTGTTACTTCACGCAAATTGTGTCTTAAATTTCCTTCGGGGACCCCATGGCTCGGAGCAGCAGTCTCCTTTGCTTCAGACGCTATGTCCATGCTGCAAACTCGTCTGTTTCATCCATACTTTAAGCTTAAGATTTTTTAAAATTAAGCATAATAGCAGCTAAAACCACTCTTTTCTTCAAGTCTGTAATACGCCACACTCCTCCAGCATCAATTGGTACTTTGGCTAAAGGTTGCTGTAGGTACTTGCAGCAGTCACAAACGCTAGTATACTTCATATATTCGTCCTTATTTGGCTAATTTCAAAGATGGCAACCCTATGCCTTATGTCTATATATCTTCTCGCGAGAAGGGCAATAATTGTGTATTGCGACGGGAAGAACCTTGGGCGAATAACTTTTTGATCACCCTTCGTATATTTCAGACTTTAGGCTCACATGCTTATCTTATTGGGTTAATGGTTTTGTGTCCACTGGAGTGGACTGCATGCACCAAAAGTTTCGAGGCGCGTGTACCGTGGCTAATAAGCCGAAAAATTTATAACTGTCCACTAAAATGAATGCGGTGGATAAAAAAAAAGGTGAAAGTTAGTTGTTTCACTTTCCGGATGTCCATTGAATAACAAATCGTAGAAGTGGTTGAAATCGAAATCTTGACAAATCGACGCTATGAAGCACCTCTCTCTGTCCGCTAAGAACCTTTCATTCAAAGCCTTCGAGCGATTGCATCGTTCGTGAGAATCTCATCCGAGTTGTGAAGCGACCCTATTATCAATACATGCACGATTGCGTACACAAAATGTTAATTCTTTATAATTTTTTCTCATTTGGAGCAGCAACTCTAACTGCATGTGTGCAAGGTGATTGAAGCGCTCGAAGCCCGTGTCCAGGGAATCGACTGTTAACTGTGTGTACACCCACTCGAGCCAGACGGGCTTGCGTGAAGAATTACAAGGTTTTCCTTTTCCTCGTGTGTCGTTCCTGAGAACGTTCCTTGAGCTAAATTACTGCGTTTTTTCACTCCAGACAATTTTTCACTCGACTCGGACACTCATGCATGAGAAATCCCAAGCACGGGTGTCTAAGTCAAGTGAAAAATGGCATGACAGTGAAAAACAATGTAGAAGTTAGCGCACTCTCTGCTCCCATATACGCCACATTAAAACAACCCTGACGCAACCACCTAATCGCTCATCTAAGCGCACAGGAAATCCATACGAGTGAACTCCAACATACCACGTCAAGGTTATCTGTACAGCAATGAGAAAATGCTATATTGATCGTTATGTCATCGATTATACAACGTCATGAATACTCGCCCCATCACTGACGAACTTCGTACAATTAAAAATGATTCATTCATCAAAGGAAAATAACTGTGTAAAATTGTGAAACCTGGATTATAAACATAATTTCGCGTGAAGTATGAATTTTGGTCTAAGTTCCACAGGTACAGAGATGTTTCCCCTCGACCAAATGGTACAGCTTAATTCAAGGCCAACTGTTCCACAGAAGAGATTCAAAGTCTCCCACTACTGATGAGTACTCCAATAATGTTAAACTTCTGACTAGCAGCAAAGCAAAGCAACAGGGAATATGCATCAGCACTCCCAATTGTCTTAATTTTTATGCAGTCTGATTTAAAAATTGCAGCTAAGGTTGACTGTCTATGCATGACGTGAAAAGTATTACAAATTGGTTTCCAATGAAGATGTCACATTTCATCTTTCATCACGAGAATGTTCTTTAACAGGTTGACCACCAGTGCGCCCTGTGCTTCACCTTCTCCAAAGGTTTTAAAATTTATTTTGGCCCAGGAAAGTCACCAGGCCAATATGGCCATGGCAGTCAACATGTTGAAGTCCAGGTATTCTTGTTTGAAGAATGGAACAAGATTATCTCTAATATTTTCTGAAATTCCTTAAGCCTCTGGTGGTTTATCTTATATCTTCCAAGTTACTAAAAGACCAAGGACTGGATCTTCATCTGCCAGTACTCACCTATTCAAAACTGGTGTTAAACCTTTCCTTCCAGAGTACCTGGAGTATAGAGCAGCCCCATCCAACATAAACACCATGAATGAATGCCCTTATCACAGCAGGCAAAAAAACTGCAGACAAATCTTGGATATTTCTCCATGTTGCAGATGGAAACATGCAATCTATGGAATAGTTTGTGAAATGATCTGCTTTCTTGAACTTGTAGGCAAGCACAAGCACGTGCCATTGCACTATTATACTTATACAGGAAAACCTGCAACTCCTTTAATAGTGACCTCATCAATCATGGCAGAGATTCCATTACTACCAACCAAGAGCCTTGTGCAACAAAGATACTATTTGATGATTGCTACTCCAGATGGGTATGGTAACATGAAAATGGACTCCAAGCAGTCACACCATATGAATACCATTCATAAAATTTAAAATACTACATCTTCCATGTATCTCGATGGAGTTCCTGAGCTGTTATGTGAAAATATTCAGCATCATTAACATTATATTCTCCTAAAAGAGAGGTTTCAGAGAATTCACCTTCAGGACCCCAATAACAATGAAAGGCTATAAAGGAAATTTTCTGTCCAGCTTATCTCCCTCCCCCCCCACCACTGGGATGAGAAGACCTCACCTCTATACCATTGACAGTCACCCGTGTGGCAGTTCCAAGTTCCCGGGAAAACCACTTGACTGACAGAAGCACAAAAAACAATATGAGCAAGAAGAATGTACTTTACAGTTCAGTCGTAACCAGACAAGATATTTACATAAACACTGAAAAAAAGAAAGCACTTCTTCCACAATCCCTTACTTAATGAGCCAATTTACAAAATTGCATTTATATGCATGCACAATTAAGGGAGACACAATTCTGTGATGAGATGTGATGGTGAAGTAAATTTTGACATCCCCAGCAGGTTGCTCGTCATTTGAAGCAGCTTATGTCCTTCCTTAGGAGCGAGAGCGACTGAAAAGGAAAAGCCACATGTTAAGCTACTTGCTACTTCATAAATTAAAATAACCAGCAGTTCGCCCATGAGCAACATAGAACTCTGGGAGAAGGATGGAAAATCCTCACCTCCTGGGTGGTGGACTTGGGGATCGAGACCTGTTGCCATACACAGGAGATTTCCGGCCATACGTTGGAGATCCCCTTGGGCTGGGGCTCCTTGACCGAGGAGACCTACAGAACATAAGAGGTCAAATCAAATTTAAGAAGATGGCTTAGTGTCAACATGACTGCTTCTTCTTGAGTTCTCATATGGACAGAAGCTCCTCTCCTATTTCCAAATGTCAGTTACTTCTGACTGTCTAACCATTATCAACAGTGAAATGTTAAAAACCATTACATGAAACCATGAACCACACAGTTCTGCTTTTCAAATCAGTGAGAACTTTACCCTTTCGACAGCGAAAAACCACGTGGGAGAGTATTCCTGGACTGGAGGAGAAGACCGTGGAGCAGTCGCTGCTGCAAGTTGTGAGGCTTGCATTAGCAATGCTGCGTCGACAGCCTGCCGTTTAGGACGGGTGTGTGACTAGCTAGGCTAGCAGAGGGTTGAGCAATGGACGAGAGGAGAGGAGAGGAGAGGAGATGCCGGCTGGCAATTTAACGTCTCATCATCCGTAGTTGAGAGGGGATACTGATTGAGAGAAGGCAAGGTTCGCGAGCGAAGAGACCGGTGCAGAACCTGACGACTGAAGCAAACAGTGTCTAGGCACAAGGCAATACATTCCATCAGTCTCATGTCAACCTAACATGTTAACTGGCCTTTCATCATGTGTTATGCAAATGATCTTCACAGAATCCCAAGGCTGCTCAAATCTAATCACGGAAGCAGGTTTTTATTGAGACAGAAAATGTAAATCTCCTCCTGGTATCCAATCCAGGCTTTAGTGTACTAGACCAAGACCTTTTCTTTCCCTTCTTCACTAAGGTTATTTTTACAAGCATGGTGAAACGAAAACATTGCATTCAGTAAGCTCACTGCCTTATTAAATACAACTGAGAGGGGACTTACCGCGATCGCCTCCTAGGCGGGCCACGAAAATTGTCTCTTCCCCTACGCCCAGAATTCTGAGAATCCCTTCTGCGGCCATGACACATCTCAACACGAATTCGACTTCCTCTCAAACGCCTGAAACAGTACATGCCAAAGACAATGTCATGTGGGAATGAAACAATCCCTAGTAGACTGACAAGGCCTCACAGCCTATATTGGGGATTTTTCTAATCAGTATGGAAAAGACGAATAAAGATCACTCACGTGCCATCCAGTGCTCTAACTGCATCTTCAGCATCTCTTGGATCTTCAAATTGCACAAAGGCAAACCCAGGGGGGCTGCGGGCCACCCAAACATTCTTCATAGGACCAAATCTTCTGAATACATCTTCCAGATCATACTTTGATGTTCCCCTGTCTAGATTTCCAATGTACACTTTGCAAGCAAGATCCTCATCTCTAGAGTTTGCCATTTTTTCTATTAAGTGTCAGGAATAAAGATTCAAATTTGCTGATCTAAACCAGAATTTCAAAACCTGTGAGGAAAAAAGATCAAAATTAACTGTGGCACAAATCAATTTCTTATTTTAAAAAAATATATATAAGCAATAAAATAACCCTGTTGAATACCATTACAACACATATAATTCTGACCAAATTTAGGGGGTCAGCAAACAGATATTCAAACTTAATAGTATATGTTTAACCCTTTTACTGTAGCCATAAAGTATCCTGGCCCAGGATCTGCCTGACCTGAACAAGTAAGTTAAAATAATCATAATACTGTACTTGGTAGATTGTGGCTAATGTCAACACAACATGTTAGTATTTTTAGCACAAGTTGAGTGAGCCCTCCACCCTCATGAATGAAATGCAGCACACCATGGCATCAGGTCAGTGTAGATACACATTCTATTTTTGTCTCTTATGGGATCTGGGTGATACACAATGAGTGGAGGAAGACTTACTTGGGTGCATCTCAAATGACATGCCCAATCCAATTAAACCTAGGCAAAAAAATCACTCTACAGAGTGAAACAAATTCACATTCCCTTTTAGGAGATTCCTGAATGAAAGTCTCATGGTCTTGGAACGTGTTTGTGATCACACAAAAAGGCATATTGAATGGAAATAATAAACTGCATTTCTGATCAGTATCATGACATAATGGGATAGGAGAAAATGGTGATGAGCAACTAATGGGGAACAAAGTCCTATCTGTACTCCCAAAGTTGGTGTATAATGTTGTACAAGCCATTTGCCTGAGGATGTTGTGGGCTTTCATGCTGAAAATCAATCTGTACACAAAGCAGCAAGAATGTCCTCATGCTACACTTGGTCCATTTTTCTTTCTACATTGATCATCCATCTGGCATTACACCCTACCAGACTACATCTAACATTTTAACATGAAAAGGGACACAATATACAGCACCCCACATATCAAATGATCAGCCACCTGAATCTGAATCAATGAAAGCCCAATTCCTGAAAATTAAAAAGTATTACAATTTCTAGTGCTTCGTTTTTTCATTCTACATGTATGAGAACCCACCAGGTCAATTATTCTCAAACTCCCTTGTTATCAAGCCATGATGAAACTGATAACACAAGTGCAAACCTCCTAGAGAAATTGCACTCCCCAAGTCTCCAGTGTTTCTAGATGAATTCAACAGAAAACATGCCATATCTATTGAGACTCAATTTATTCACAAAATACACCAACTTAAACTGACCTAACTTGGCCTAACTTTGGGGGAAACAATACCCCTAGGGGATATGCATTTAAATATGACCCCAAAAATCTTGATGTTCACACATTTGACTTGGCATTCACCAAGACTATGAAGTGAGCCTATCAACTCTTCTGCACTCTAATTTGAACCTAGCCTCATCCCCGTCTCCTTCACTCTATTTCGGCACAAGAATCACCACATACCAAAGCCAATAAGCCTGGGAGACTCAAAGTAACTCAAAGAACAGCAAAAGGCCTGGATGCAAGCGATTCCCTTAGACCCACGGTTGGCCTATTGATAGTCACGTTGATACATTCCCATACTAGAGCTTGCTGCAAATGAGAACATGGAAAGAAACCATTTCATTTAAAATATAAACTGAAATCGGCGTAGACAACGGCCTGGAGTACCTTGATGACACTACCGAAGCAAGCCGGTAATTACAAAATTTCAACAGTTTCATCGACTTTCATGATCCGTGTCAAGAACAGCGTCAACTGGCTACCGTAAATCAGGTTAGGCTGTAGGTAAGGAGTTTCAGTGCAAACCTAGACACCACACAGTCCTGGCCACAGTGTAAAGCGGTACTCAACATAGAACGTGATAACGTGAGAAACCAAGACCCGAATAAACGCTACGCTTAAGCCTGACCTACACTGATACCCAGAATCCAATACGAAAAAAGTGAAGGACTTGTCCATCTTCATAACCAATCTTAAACCAAGTGAAAATGAGACTAGAGAGCAGAGAGCGGATAAAACCTGGAGCCGACTGTCCATGCACCCTGTAATACGGAGAAGGCCAAGCAGGAAACGACGCGAGAGGCATGGCGGTCGGCGTCGGCGGGAAGGCATCTTCGACCTCTATCGGATTCTTCCTGGGCTCCAGTCAACTCCAACTTCAGATAGATGTCACTGGATGTATTCGCCATGTATGTCGGATCACGATTCAAGATTCAAGATAGTTAGTGATATCAAGAGGCGATAAAGGTGATAAAGGATCAAGGCAGATAGAATATATTTTATGCGTCATGCGTCGGATGGCTTGCTGACTTCCATTTTACCGAACTCGTCGAAATTTCATTCAACCGATTCCTAATGGGGTCACGAACGCTCAGGAGTGACGTGGCTCCCCCAGCTTGTAATGCAAAATCATCCACAGATGTTGCTTAATCAGCTGTTTTGAGGTGGATTTGGTAAGGATTGGACAGTCGCCATTGATCCACTTTTGGTTTCCCGGGTTACGGTGGATTCGTGTTTACAGGAGAATAGGCAGATAGCCCTTAAAGATATCGGTTTTCGCCAAGACTCAAGAAATATATACAGTATATTTATTTCTGCTTAAACGTTGGTTCTACGGCTACCCAAAGACCCCTGTGGCTGCATGCTTGAAACTTTGGACAGTTAAAACTGTTGAAACACAGTTGAGAAGTTCCACTATGAAACCCTGACTCTACTTCTTGCTCATCGTACAGCTTTAACGATAGCTCATAGAGAGCGAAATGCACACATAGCCTTCAACTCTAGTCACATGTGAAGAGGAAGAACTAGGGACAGATAAGCATGAATCAATACGATCACTACGATGGGATAGGAAAGGTGCAGAAAAAATTTCAACATTTTCTTACTGAACCCAGGGCCGCCCAGAGGGGAGGGGGGGGGGGGGGGGGAGAAA